TCAGGAATTCTGGGAGTTGAAGTCCACCAGTCAGAAAGCGGCCTAGGAGTAGGCCAGAGGTAGGCAACCTTGGTTCTTTTATGACTGGTGGACTTCAACTCCCAGAATTCCTGAGGCAGCCATGCTGAGGGAAAAGGGAGAGTTTCCAAGCTGAGCCATGCTGGCTCAGGAATTCTGGGAGTTGAAGTCCACGAGTCATGAGGGGGCCATAGTTCCCCCAAGCTGGCTCAGGAATTCTGGGAGTTGAAGTCCACGAGTCATAAAGCGGCCTAGGCCAGAGGTAGACAAGCTTGGCTCTTTTATGACTCGTGGACTTCAACTCCCAGAATTCCTGAGCCAGCATGGCTCAGCTTGGAAACCTCTCCCTTTCCCCTCAGCATGGCTGGCTCAGGAATTCTGGGAGTTGAAGTCCACCAGTCATAAAAGAGCCCAGGTTGCTTACTCCTTACTCCTTCTAAGGGAAAAATTAGTTGAAGGACCAACTTTTCCCAATCATATCCATCCGTCTTTCTGTCTGATACCCTCCGGATTCTTTATGGAGCTTCTCAGCCATCCAGTTCCTGGAGGTCCCAAAGGTGCTTTGTCATGAGGCCACTGGACTTCCTTGTTTCTCTTTGAAGAGCTTTCACTTATCCCAGAAGCTTCTTCATCTCTGACTGGACGATGGGGGAATGGAAGGATTTATACTCCCTGCAAACAGCTGGTCATTTTCATTCTTTTAGAGAGTCGTTGAGGCCACTTGGAGGTTTGTCTGTGTCCTCACGGTCACCTAGGTAGTGCAAATGGGTGCAGAGCCTTCTTAGCTGTAGGATGTTTTCTGCCCTGTAGGAAGTTTCTTGCATCCAAGAAGGCTCCATAGACATTTGCACCACTCAGGTGACCCTGAAGAGATAGACAAACCTCCAAGTGGCCTCAACGACTCTCTAAAAGAAAGCAAATGACCAGCTGTCTCCAAGGAGTATAAATCCTTTCCGTTCTCCACCATCCAGTCAGAACCTGAAGAAGCTTCTGGGATGGGAAGTGAAATGTCTTCAAAGAAAAACAAGAAAGTCCAGTTGCCTCCTGAAAAAGCATCTTTGAGACAGCCAGGACCTGGATGACAGAGAATCTCCATGGACATTTAGCTCTGCACTTAGGAATAGACATCCTTCAAATGTTGTGGGAGTATGAAGGGATTTCCAGAAAACATTGCAGACTACAGGAATCATTTACGCTTCAGTTTGAGATTCAGACAGCCCAGACTCATCCCCATCATCCTGTGCCTGTCTTCAGCAGTGAAGGGACACGGGGCAGAAAACGTCCTCCTGCAGCCAAGAAGGCTCCACACCCATTTGCACCACTCAGGTGATCCCCAAGGACACAGGTAAATCTCCAAGTGGCCTCAACGACTCTCTCAAAGGATGCAAATGACCGGCTGTCTGCAAGGAGTATAAATTCTTCCCTTCCCCACCATCTAGTCAGAGCTGAAGAAGCTTCTGGCATAGGAAGCAAAATATCTTCAAAGTTATTGGGTAAGACTAGTTTAATGGAGAGAAGGACGAGGGGGGACAGGATAGCAGTCTTCCAGTATCTCAGGGCCTGCCCCAAAGAAGAGGGAGTCAAGCTATTCTCCAAGGCGCCTGAAGGCAGGACAAAAAGCAATGGATGGAAACTCATCAAGGAGAGAAGCAACCTGGAACTAAGGAGAAACTTCCTGACAGTTAGAACAATTAACCAGTGGAACAACCTGCCTCCAGAAGTTGTGAATGTGCCAACACTGGAAGTTTTTAAGAAGAGACTGGACAGCCCTTTGTCTGAAATGGTATAGGGTTTCCTGCCTGAGCAGGGGGTTGGACTAGATGACCTCCAAGGTCCCTTCCGACTTTATTATTATTATTATTATTATTATTATTATTATTATTATTATTATTATTATTATTATTATTATTATTATTATTATTATTAAGAAGAAAGTCCAGTTGCGTCCTGGAAAAAGCACCTTTTGGGACCTCCAGATTGTTATGGCGTCAGCTATTCCAAGTATCACGTTAGCTTTCAATGTTTTGACCAGCTTGGCTGAACTCGGGGCTTTGAAGATAGATTGGACTCCCCACCCCATCATCCGGGATATGCAGAGATGCTAGCTGGGGATGATAGGACTTGGAGTCTTCTGTATCTACAGAGATCACCAAATTGGGGAATTAAGAGTTTGAAGCGGCAAAAACTGGCAATGCAGCAACCCACACTGTTCAGGGTGCCGTGCTGATTAAAATGCACGTAGTCAGTGTGATTTTGCAAGGTGTAAAGTTTAACACAAAAGGAGGAGAAGGTGGGAGTGAGGATGAAGCAGCCCTGGGCTGTTTTCTGCTATCTATCACTTTCTGTGGGAAATATTTTTAAATTTCTCCTTTCCTGCAAACCCTGCAGCTATATTGATCCTAGAGCTCCATCTAGTGGCTACGATTGAAATGACTGGTTGAAAAAAATATTGGAAAAAAGGACTATTTTTAAACCTAGTGAAGCGATAATTATTTAACTATTTTTAAACCTAGCGAAGCCATAATTATTTAACTGTTTTTTTAAAGCTAGTGAAGCGATCATTATTTAGCTATTTTTAAACCTAGTGAAGTGATAGCTCCTAGCTCAGTGTTTCTCAACCTTGACAATTTTAAGGCATGTGGACTTCAACTCCCAGAATTCCACAGCCAGCAATGCTGGCTGTGGAATTCTGGGAGTTGAAGTCCACATGCCTTAAAATTGTCAAGGTTGAGAAACACTGTCCTAGCTGATTTTCACGGAAGATGTCCTTGACCTTTCTTAACAGTAGATCCTTCAGCAGATGGCAGCCTTGGGCCAACTTTATCTATTTTTCCTTTTAGTTTTTTTTTTAATTTTTGTCAGATGATGGACATACTGTTTATCCCAAGCATGTTTGAACTCAGTCCTCAGTAACTGAGTTTAAATATGCTTGAGATAAGCACCGACAAAAATTAAAAAAATAAAATAAAAATAAAAATGATGAATACATACATTAAAAATAAAAGAAAAAGCTAAAGGTCTACAGAGCTTCTCCGTCCTCCAGGTCACGGTTGTCCCAAAGGTGGTTTTTCCAGGAGGCAACTGGACTTTCTTGTTTTTCTTTGAAGACGTTTTGCTTCTTATCGCAGAAGCTTCTTCCGCTCTGACTGGATGGTGGGGAAGGGAAGGATTTATACTCCTTGCAGACAGCTGGACATTTGCCTCCTTTCAGAGAGTCCAAGTTGAGGCCACCTGGAGGTTTACCTGTGTCCTCGGGGTCAGCTGAGTGGTGCAAATGGGTGTGGAGCCATCTTGAAACTGTTGTACGATATTAAGAAAGGTTGTCACAAAGTTCAAATAACAAATGTCTTGCTTAGCAATGGAATGGAGTGGAGAGGAGAGGAGAGGAGAGGAAGCGAAGTGAAGTGAAGTAAAAAGTGAAGTGAGAGGAGAGGGGAGGGGAGGAGAGGGGAGGAGAGGAGAGGAAGTGAAGTAAAAAGTGAAATGAAGTGAAGTAAAATGTGAAGTGAAGTGAAGTAAAAAGTGAAGTGAGAGGAGAGGGGAGGAGAGGAGAGGAAGTGAAGTAAAAAGTGATATGAAATGAAGTGAAGTAAAAAGTGAAGTGAAGTGAGAGGAGAGGAGAGGGGAGGGGAGGGGAGGAGAGGGGAGGAGAGGAAGTGAAGTAAAAAGTGAAGTGAA